TGAAGGGTAGGAAAGGCATGATCTATGTGTGATTGAGAAACAGAAAGGCAAGGAGGGGAGAATTATTTCCTTAGCTGTTCAATTTTGTCAGTGAAGTAACATGCAAAGTTATCAGCAGTAAGGTTGGTTTGGGGGGTGGCCACAGCGGGGCGAAGAAGAGAATTAAAGTTGTCAAAGAGACGCCTGGGGTTGCGGGAACATGAACTAATGAGAGAGGAAAAATAGGACTGTTTGGCAAGGGCAAGGGCTGCACTGTATGAACACAATATGAATCTATAGTGGAGAAAGTCTGACTGGGTGCGAGATTTCCTCCAGGAGCGTTCAGCACAACGGGAGCATCTTTGCAGGTATTGCGTTGATTTAGTATGCCATGGTTGGGGGCGGGTCCTCCTTGAGGTGCTTGTTTGGAGTGGTGCTGCAGTGTTCAAGGCAGATGTAAGAGTAGAGTTATATATGGAGATGGCCAGTGAAGGACAGGAGAGGGAACACTGATATCTATCAGGAATCCCTGAATAACCCTTCACAGGTATATATAATTTAAAAGAAGACAACCTATGGTATTAAATTTGGTGTATTTTGACTCTTTTCATCCAACCATTTTACCATCAATCTATGCCAAATTAAAAAAAATAAAAATAAAAAATTGGTGATTTTTTGACACACATAGCAATTTAGGAATACATGTACTGAGAACTTTAAGGGTTACTGCCAAAAAACACCCCAATATGTGTTTAGCAACATCTCCCAAGTACAGTAATACCAACCATGTATAGGTTTGTTGAGTTTTCTGGGGTTAAAAGACCTTATTTGTAGGGTGCGCATTATACTTTTCCAACTTGGTATTTTCACAGCTGCTCATCATGCACCCATGTCCTATTTGGGACATTTTCAAAAGCCGGCCAATGTAATTTATCCCCATCAAACTATATATTTTTGAAAAGTAGACAACCCAGGGTATTCAATATGTGGTATGTCTGGTCTTTTTTAGTAGCCACTTAGTCACAAACACTGGCCAAATATAGCATTTATATTTATTTGTGTGTTAAAAATGCAAAAAAAAACAATTATGAACGCTAACTTTAGCCAAGTGGCTACTAAAAAAGACTAAACATACCCCATTTTCAATATTTATGAAATTATTTATGCTTATAGGTGTCCATAGTGCTGCCAGCAGGAGGACTGACAGGCGGTCCCCCTGCTGGTGAAACAAGTTTTAAAAACACGTTAAAGAAAAGCTTTACAATAAAAATATAATGTTAATAAAATATATATCTATATATCTATATATAATAGGTATATATATATAATATATATATATATATATATATATATATATATATATATATATATACATAAAGATAAATAATCCAGATAACACTCTCAGGACTTGTAGATAAAAAAAACTTAGCTTTCATAAGTGCTATCTGGATTATTCATCATTGTATTTTTTGCTTAACAAGCACCGGCAAGTACATTTGTATTATATGGAGTGCAGGTTTATTTTCTTTTTTATATATATATATATATATATATATATATATATATATATATATATATAAATATATCTTATATATGATGTCATATTAAGTGTATTTTTTATTAATATATGCATATAGTAATCTAAAAATACACTTAGAGTAAAATTACACGCGTATATAAATAATCTATGTATATAATTTATATTATTAGAAAAATAAATAATGAATTAAAAATAAATGTAAAATGTAAATAAATGTAAAAAATGTAAAAACTATTTTTTCATGTATATATATATATATATATATATATATATATATATATGTATATATATATATAAAACTGTATTTTGATACTCTGTTGCACTATTACAGGGAGTGCAGAATTATTAGGCAAGTTGTATTTTTGAGGATTAATTTTATTATTGAACAACAACCATGTTCTCAATGAACCCAAAAAACTCATTAATATCAAAGCTGAATATTTTTGGAAGTAGTTTTTAGTTTGTTTTTAGTTTTAGCTATGTTAGGGGGATATCTGTGTGTGCAGGTGACTATTACTGTGCATAATTATTAGGCAACTTAACAAAAAACAAATATATACCCATTTCAATTATTTATTATTACCAGTGAAACCAATATAACATCTCAACATTCACAAATATACATTTCTGACATTCAAAAACAAAACAAAAACAAATCAGTGACCAATATAGCCACCTTTCTTTGCAAGGACACTCAAAAGCCTGCCATCCATGGATTCTGTCAGTGTTTTGATCTGTTCACCATCAACATTGCGTGCAGCAGCAACCACAGCCTCCCAGACACTGTTCAGAGAGGTGTACTGTTTTCCCTCCTTGTAAATCTCACATTTGATGATGGACCACAGGTTCTCAATGGGGTTCAGATCAGGTGAACAAGGAGGCCATGTCATTAGATTTCCTTCTTTTATACCCTTTCTTGCCAGCCACGCTGTGGAGTACTTGGACGCGTGTGATGGAGCATTGTCCTGCATGAAAATCATGTTTTTCTTGAAGGATGCAGACTTCTTCCTGTACCACTGCTTGAAGAAGGTGTCTTCCAGGAACTGGCAGTAGGACTGGGAGTTGAGCTTGACTCCATCCTCAACCCGAAAAGGCCCCACAAGCTCATCTTTGATCAGGGCCGGACTGGGGATACAAAGCAGCCCTGGAAAAAAAATCTGTGCCAGCCCCATAAGTCACTGCGCCATATATTGTCGCGTGTAATATGTAAGGCTATGTCTTGCCAGGACAGATGATTGAGTAATATATATATATATAGCTTTTTCTAATATAAAATATTGGTCCTTCCAGGGTAAAACGTTTAATTATACAGTAAGCATACTCACATGCAGACACAGGCAATTTCACTGACATTTCAATGACACACACAAGCTCATTGATACACAGCCTCATAGACAAACAATCTTACTGATATACATCAGCTCATTGACATAAAAACACAAGCTCACTCACTAGCAGGCACACGCATGCAAGCAAGCCCACTCACTAGCAGACGCACACACACAGCTTAATGTGGTGGTACTGGTGTCTATAGCATGTCCCTACAGGCTTTTCAACGTAAACACTGACTTTTCAGACAAAAGTCAGTGTTTACATTGCTTCAAAGTGACACTGCTAGTGACAGTCACTCAGACGGTCACTAGAGGTGCTTCCTGTGTTAGTGCCCTCCCGCGCTGCTGAATGAGACTGGCGCCGGAATATGACGTCATATTCCGCGCCGGTCTCATTCAGCTGCATGCTGGGGAGCAGAGCCAGCGCAGCTCGCGCAGCTCCCTCAGCGGCCGCCAGGACAAGTCCGCCAGCGGCCGCCAAAAGACCTCCCCAGCGGCCAGGGGAGGGCTGGCAGCCTTAGGCCTGGGGGCAAAACCAGTCAAGTAGACTGGTGCACCTGCCCAGGATCAGAGCCGGTGCAAGGATTTTTGCCGCTCTAGACAAAATAAAAATTTGCTGCCCCCACATGTCACATCACAATGCCCCACCCATATGATCTGCCATATGAACTAACGCCAGTGCTGCACACAGTGTGTGTTTCCATTAAAAAGCCTGCAGGGACCAGCTATAGACACCAGAACCACTTCATTAAGCTATAGTGTCCCTTTAATGTGAGGTAAATTATAGATTAGTGTCACTAATAATATACTAGATTGCCTACTAACAAGTAGATGAGGATGATGATGGGCTGCAGTTTGGCTCCACTGGTCTGGTGTAGAACAGGATCTCTGAAGGCTGTTTGCAACTGTGGTCACAAAATTCAATGTTCTGGGAGAATTGGAAGCAGCTCCATTTTTTGGGGCCCCTTACACAGCTCAAGGTCTGGGCCCCAGGACCTGACGGTGAGTATGCCCATAAGGCCCACTCATAAGTTCCACCCACCCATGAGTTCGCTCACAGGGAGTGGAGTGTGTAGGGGATGTGTTATGTGTTATTGTAGAGGATCTAATATGTGTGCTTATGATATGTAGTGTTTAGGGTTACCAGTTTGTGCAGGTGATGCAGTGTGTTTGTGTGTAGTGGAAGCAGTGTGTATTTGTGTATAAGGGATGTATTATGTTTCTGGTTGTGTGTAAGGGATGCATTGTGTGAATCTGTGTTTGTATGCATAAGGGATGCAAGGTGTGTGTCTGTATGTGTGTGCATGAGATGCATTGTGTTTCTGTGTGTATGTAAGAAAAGAAGTGTGTGTGTGTTTGCATGCGTGTGTACGGGTTTGCATTGTCTGTTTCTGTGTATGTGTACAAAGGATGCATTGTCTTTGTGTGTAAGGGTTGCATTGTGTGTGTGTGTGTGTAATGGATGCATTGTGTGTTTCTCTGTGTGTAAGGGAAGCATGTTGTGTTTCTGTGTATGTAT